CTGAGCAGCCAAAGCAGAGTGCATCAACTTAACCACTGTGCCAGCCCCAGATGACTCTTTTTTAAACTTAATTTTTATTTTATTTTGTTTGACACTTTTACACTTTTTACATTTTCTTTCTATTCCTTCTAATCATAGCAACTTATACTGGTTTTCCATTTATAATTAAAAGTTTCCTTTAAAAATAAATGTATTTATCTTTTTAAAAAGTGAGTTGCCTTGTTAAGAAAAATCTTCCACAAAAACAATTTGAAGTTTTCTCTTTGAAATTCTGTCAAATTTGGCTTTATGTATTTTGAGACCAAGTTATTGTGTGCAGATAAGTTTAGAGTCGTTGGGACTACCAGATGAAACAAACCCTTTATAATTGGAAAGTAAATCAAACTCTCTTTTAATAAAATGAAAAATGACTTAGAAGTATATATTAAGAAATAATACCACAGATGATATACCAGTGACTGAAATTTGAGGATCTCATGGAGATGGCATGCTGAAAATTCCAGTCCCAGTACTGGCAGCATTGACAAACGTTGTTGCTTCTGCCATCGTTACTTCTCTCACCAGTGAGATTGTCTCCATTAGAAAGGACTCCGTGGAGTTCTTTCTTTCTTGTGAGGTTTTCTGGAAACTCTAAGGGGAATGGATTTTATGTGAAGAAAGTAACTGTGGCATCTTCTGGATGTTGGTTGAAGGGATAACCTAAGACACAACATCCAGACAGATGATCACTATTTCAGCCAAGATCCCTCTCTTTTGCCCAAATTCTTTCTCTCTAAGCCCTGGGTCTCAACCAGGGGTGCTTTCATCCCCCCAAAATGCACAGGACAACCTCCCACAACAGAAAATCATCCAACCCAAAATGTCAACAGTGTGAGGCTGACAAACCTGCTCTAAGCCAAGGAGGGCCAGGTCAGGCATCACAGGGGCATCCTCCTAAACAGATTTAAGCTAACCGGCTTCTGTGAAGGCTTTCAGATTTTCAGGTTTCCAAACAACGTCAAACTAATTGGCCTGACTAAACTGACCACTTTGTGATGAAAGACAAAAAATTTTCAACATTTTCAGACTACTCACATGCTGTATATAACTGGAGGGGGAAAAAAACATTGTGGACAAGTCTGTAAGCTCTCTGAGCCTCTGGGGAGCTGGTCCTCAGCTGAACGGAGATTCCAGCTCCCATCTCTTTGTCCCCATTGCCCCAGGCTGCGTTCTCACGCTCCCGTTGTGAGGAGATGTGGACTGAAGGTGGTGGTGATATTTGGGCGCTGCTGTAGCTCCACCACTCTATCATCATTTTCCCCCGAGCAATATTTCTCCAGGTGCTGTTTCTAGACTGTCAGCTTTAAAACCAGCTGGGAGCTCATTAAAAATGCCTATTTCTGAGCCCCACTGCAGACCTGTTGGATCAGACCGGGGTGAGGGCACAGAGATCAGAATGTTTACTGAGCCTGCATTCCAGGTGGATTTGATGCCGATAATGTGGGGCAAACCTCTGTCCTCCACTACAGCTCCTTCGGGGCTGGGGTCCTTTCCATGTCTGTACTTATTTCCACCAATCTTTCATCTCAAGACACTCCAAACAAACATGCAATCTAAATTAAAATGCTCTGCTTCATATGCAACACGAGCTTCAAGATAAGTCCCCAAATCTCTCAACCCTCAACCAGAAGGCTGCTCTTAAGGTGAACCAGTGTAAAACCCTGGGGCCACCCTGGCCACTCCTTTGTTTTCTTGAGGAGCTACCACAGACGCCTAGTACACAGCAGGTACTAGAAAAATATGCATAGAATTGAATTTACATTCATGCTTGTTGCCACCCCTCCTGGCTGCTGCCTCCCTGCCTGAGCCCAGCAAGTGGGCAGCGGCAGTGTTCGTGCTAACCCTGCTCTCCTCCTCGATTATAGGGGGCCACCCTCTGGACACCCCACACCTTCCACGGGAGCTGCCTGCAGGACTCTCAAAAAATATCAGTAAGGATTCTTTGAACTTTTATTAAGATACCAACCTGGGTAGAAATCTGTCTAGGATATTGGCAGAGAAAAGAGCTCTTCTAAACACACGCCAGAGCCACTGCTGTGGCAACTGTATGTAAAGTGATTCAAATGAGACCCAAAAGCCTCTCCCACAATAGTGTCCCATGTCGTCTCCCCCATCCTTTGAGACAAGTAATAAAAACTCCCATCAGAAGACAAAGGTCACCTAAAAGGAGAAACTAGGAAAAGGAAGTAAATGGACTTATGCGGAGGATTATATAGTAACTGTATTTTAGCTTCAGATTGAGCTCTGAGCTTCCTAGAAGGCAGGGCAAAAAAAGAAAGATGATGCATTGCAGTGCTCTAGTTATTAGAAAGGAGGATTCACAATTCTCTCTTGGGGAAGGGAAAGTTTTCCTGGTGATGGATTACAAAGATTTCTCAGGCAGATTCTTAGATGGGTATTTCTGAAGGACATAATGCATAGTGAACTAACTGGTGATGGTAGCTCTGAATTAAGGGTTCATTTCTGATTTTTCAGAGAGGCGAGCTGAGTCAACCAAATTATTTGTGCTTGAGCCCATGCAAGCGAAGTGCTCAGTCCTGCCCAGACCCAAATGACAATTTTCTCCCTCTCCAAATGGCATAACCCCATGGGAAGTGCAAGGCCCACCAAGCAGGCTTCTGCAGGTAGATATTTAGTCTCACCGGCCACACTTGGCACTTAGAAGAATCAAGGCCAGCTAACACAGTGTGCCAGCCGGCCATGGCAGCCATTCCTCTTCAGCCAGGGTAGCCTGGCAGCAAATACACAGCAGTCCAGGAGCCCCCAGGTAACAGCTCTGGTGCAAGGGAATGGGGCTCACGTGGAGCAGCCATAGGACCCACCCTCACCTAGAAGCTTCATTTTCCATAAATCAGTATCTCTAGTAACTACTCCATAGGTATAATTTCTAGGATGCCCAGAAGGGAGGTGCCCAGTTGCAAGAGTTATCACACTGAGGGAGACCCAAAATGATGACTTGCCACCAGGTATTCATAGTTCATCCACAGCGCCTGCCGGTCCAGATACACCTCATCATCCAGGGGTCTTTTTATCATTGAGCGATGCTGCCTAGTAACGCAGTTCCCATTTCATCTTATCAGGTCTTCATGGTAACCCATGTTAACTAGAACGTTAGCCCAAGGTCGAATCTACCCTTAGAAGAAGAGTTTGACCTACTCTTCGCCCAGGGGGTGGACATGGAAGGCGAAAGGGGGAAAGCACTGTCTCTGATTTATTTTCTCTCCCTTCCACTTAGATATCACATTCTTCAATGGGGTGTTTAAAAATGTGGAAAGCGTGGCCGAAATTTTTGGTAAGTTAAATTCAAAATTGCTTTTATCCACCAAGTGTCAGGGCATGGGGCGTGTGTGGGCAATCTAAGGAAATTACCGGGGTCTTGGTCTCTGCCCTCTGAACCCCACAGCCCCCCAGCAAGCTCTGAACAGTGTGCTCCAGGTTCTGAGGGGAGTAGTGGTGCCTTTTATTGTAGGGTGGCTCACTGAGCAGCCAGGTGCCTTCAGAGTCCTGACTTCATTCGTCCTAACCACAACCTGGCCAGGAAGGGAATGAGATCCCCATTTCACAGGTGAGGAAACTGAGCCTAAGAGAGCTAAGTGACTCGCCCAAGGCCACACAGCCAGAAGGGAGGAGTTCTCGTCTGCGTCCAGAGCTTAGTCTCCCTACACCAAAGGAGTTCTATTTTCTCTCCCTAACTAATAAATATACGTAAAGGCTAAGAATTCCAAAAGGTGTCAAATGTTCCATTTATCAACTACATATCCGTCACGTGACTATCAGTCGCAGGACCCCATGATGCTTCTTAGCATTGATTGCTAAAAATATCCCCAAATAAGATTATTATATGATTGACAGGAGCAAGGAGACTCTGAACCGCTATTGGATTGGATAAAGCGGAGTGTAAGACTGTGCTTAAAATGTGGATATGACCAAGTGCAGGTGCCCTGTAAGTTTCTGTATGAAAATGCCTGTTTATATAAACACACACAGACACACACGAACCGTAGAGTGTCTTTTTCCGGCAGTATAGAATCATTTCTTCATGTTTCTGATTAGGTTGTGTGGAAACAAAACGTGGGACAGGAAGTTTGAATGAGGTAGGAAGAGCTTGAAGAATAGTCAGAAGGGAGCTGGTCCTCACAGTCTACTCTTTGACCCCGCCAAGCTCCCTCTTATGACCCTGTGCTTTAAATCAGTGCTGCGGGGTCGCCCCCTTTAGCACTCACTGGTCCTCCAGTGAGGAAGGCAGAGAGTCTCGGAGACGGTGAGCCTGTGGTTTAGAGTAAAAAAACTGGATTCTGGTTTTTTTTGCCAATTTTGTTTGCAAGAGTATTTTTGCTTAGGGTCAGTCATCATCGCTGGTTGACACCTCAGGTACGTCTCGACCTTCAGTTTCTTTACCTGTGCAATGGAGGGGATGGAATAGCATCCGCCTTGCGGGAGTCACAGGAGGTTTATGAGATAACAGACCAAGTGAATGCTTTCTAAAGCATTGCTCTATCAATCTTAACTGTTGTTAAGCATCTAGCCCAGTTTCTGGCACATAGTAGGTGCCCAAAAACAACTGTATCTTTTGGGATTAACTAAGCAAAGTAATAATGACAAATAATAAAGAGGTTTAATCATCTCACATAAGCCGTCGGAGGCACCAGTGTTGGTGCAGTAGCTCACCACGGGTTTCAGGGACCCAGTAGCCTCCTTCTGTCTTGCTCCACTGCTGCCCTGAGAACACCGGTTTTTCATCTTTAGGCCTGGGGCCTCTGGTTGCAAGGCAGTTGCAGTTCCAGCCAGCAGATCCTCGCCGACACTCAAGGAAGGAGAAAGGTGTGGATCAAAAGGACCTTCTCACATGCCTTTATTCTCTATTAAGGAAGAAATATTTTCTGAAAGCCTCTGACAGACTTCCCCTTCAGTTGTTTTGACTAGATCTGGGTCACGTGCTCAGCCCCAGCCCAACCATCATCATGGAAGCGCGGGATTACCATGACCAGCTGAGAATGATCATGAAACATCCCCAGGGACCTGGGGAGAAGGCTCACTTCCTTGAGTACTTTTCAGTTTTGTCGGTAGGAAGAGCGGATAAATGGCTGTTACCAGCACAGACCATGGCTGATCCACCTGCCTCCCTCAATTGTCCAGACAGTCCTGAGTGCAGAGCAGGTGCTCAGTAGCTTGATGAGGGACCTCAGCCCGAGGTGTAGGAGGTCCGAGAAGGGGGCTCCCTCCTCGACTCGGGTTCCCAGTGCCCGCCCTGCTCCCCCTCCCGCAGACTGCCTGGGCTCCCACTTCACCTGGCTGCAGGCCGTCTTCAGCAACTTCCCCGCGCTGCTGCAGTTCGTGAGCGGTATGAAGTGTGTGGCTGGGCTCTGCCCCCGCGACTTCGAAGACTACGGCTGCGCCTGCAGGTTCGAGATGGAAGGGCTGCCCGTGGACGAGTCTGACAGGTGAGCAAGCCCGAAAGGTGAGCTCACGGAGGCCGGCTGCTACTTGGCAGAGCTCGGACGTGGAAAGCTCCCTAGACTGTGTGTGTGTGCATGAGTGTGTATGGGTGTGTGCAACAAAATTTAAAATCTTAGAAGCATCAAGTGTTAGTAAGGGTATGGCAAGCAGATACTGGCAGCAGGAGGGTCACTTAGGAAAATGCCGTGGTGTCTGTTGGAGTTTTAAGATATGGGTCACCTATGACCCGGTAATTCCAGTTCTTTTTTCCTTGTGGACCCTGTGACCTTAGATGAGTTATTTAACTTCTTTATGCTCCAGTTTCTTTGTCTGTAAAATGGAGGTAATAATAATATCTACCTCATAGAGTCATTATTTAGGATTAAATGACCAAATACAAGTGAAAGTGGTTGGGATTCTTCCTGGCTTATTAAGTCTTCAAGAGTATTAGTGATTGGTAGTCATAGTAACCGTAATAGTAGGGCTGTAGTAGTAATGGTGATAGTAATGACAGTAGTAGTGATAGTAGTAATAGCCATCATAATAGGGCTGTAGTAGTAGTAGTAGTGATAGTAACAATACTAGTAGTAACAGTTGTCAAAGTAGTTGTAGCAGTATTGGTAGTAACAGTAGTAATAATGGTACTAATAGCAACAAATAGTAGCAGTACTAGTAAAGCTGTAGTAGTAGTAGTAGTAGAAGAAGTAATAGTAACATTAGTAGGAGGAACAGTTGTCATAGTAGCTGTAGTAGTAGTAGTAATAATAGTAGCAATAGTAGCAATAACAATGGCAGCCGTAGTACTAGTAAACCTATAGTGGTGGTAGTATTACTACTGGTAGTAGTAGAAGTAGCAGCAGTAGTAACAGTAGTAATTGAAGCCACAGTAACAGCAGCAGCAGAAGTAGTATGGAAGCAGGCAATTGAACCCACATCTCACCTCTGCTCCAGGATCCACGTCCCTACCTCACTGATACTATACAAATCCAGTGCAGCAGCGTATGTGCTTTCATCTATAGACTCACAGAAGGTAGGGAAGGCCTCCCCTCTGTACTCTATCAGACAGCCCATTGGTGTAAGTTACTTCTGGACAAGAGGGCAGCTTCCCCTCTCTGGGACCATCAGCAAACCGACCCCTGGAGCCAGCTCATTGACGTTCAGAAAGGGAGAGACTGATTCTGTACGGGGCATGGAGCCAGGGCCATTTCTGGAGTCGTTTGCCTTTAAGGTCCTCCCTTACCACTTCCTTTAGTTATTAAAACACCTTGTAAATGTGGAAGTCAAAGAAACGAAGCAGTAATTCATCACTGTCTGAATGATCAAAGCACCGATGGCCCAAACCTGGCAGAATGGGTGGTCGCATCCTATTTCAATTACTTTACACAGTTCAGTTGATTGGGGTGGGGATTTCCAAACTCCTGGAGGACAGGTTATCTCCACCTTGAGCTTGCACACCACATTCCGAGAATAATTGCTACCATTCATTAAGTCCCTAACACACAGCAGGATCTATATAGATGTTTTCCTGAATCCCCAAAATTTTTATGAGCTAGGTAGTGTGAGAAACTTGTAGTTTGCCCAAGGCCATCAACTGCCTGTATATATTTTCTTCTTTACATTGATCTCCACTGACCCGCTGTGTGCACTGCAAGAGCCACCTGACTCCCGTGTTAGTGTCAGCCTCACTCTGTGGTCACCCTTGACCTTGGCAAGTTACAGAGGCCCAGGTGTCTCAGTCCCCACATAGGTGAATGCTCACAATAATAATAGTGCCTGCTGCATGGGTAATATAATTCGAATATCGCGTGTGTGTATGTGCACCGAGCATTTGAAACAGACCACTGCCAGGAACACCCAGAGACACAGAATGATCACGCACCGCCTGCCCCTCTCCTAACCCTAACGCATGCTCTTGCCCTGACCCTTCCCATCGCGCCACAGCTGCTGCTTCCAGCACCGCCGCTGCTACGAGGAGGCCGCTGACATGGACTGTCTCCAAGACCCCGCCAAGCTCAGCACAGACGTCAACTGCGTCAGCAGGAAGATCACGTGTGGTGAGCATCTCCAGGTGTCCAGGGCTGGGCTGAGAAATGACAGTTAGGGACCCCAGGCCTGGACCAGACCGAGGGCTTCCAGGGCCCACCCTCATCGTCGTCACCATGGCCACATCATCATCTATACTAGAGCTCCACGAGGGCCGGATCTATGGCATCTCTACCTTGCATAAAGTAGAGGAACCATAAATGCTTTTTGAACTGTTTTTGAAATAATAATTGATCAGCAGATTATTTGATTTTTAATTTTATACTTGTTGCAACCCTGGGAGCTTGGGAAGGGCAAATAGTTTGCTACTTATGCATTGAGTGACATTGGGGCAATTACTTACCTCCTTGTGACATTGGGGCAATTACTTACCTCCTTGGAACCTCAAAATGGGGAGGAGAAAGGCTGCTTCAGAGACTTTATGACAATTAAATAATGCTCATAAAACAGTTAACACAGTGACTGGCTGTGTTAAGAACTCAGTGATGGAAGGTAGAGGCAGTGATGCATGAATAGGGCTTGTGGTTGTTGCTGTTTGTAAGAACCAGACACACCTAGGGCCAAATCTTAGCTATCCCCCTTACTCACTGTGTGACCCCAGGAATCTTGCTTCATGTCTCAGGGCAATCCTGGCAGAGGAAGTAGAGTAGGCAAAGGCACAGAGGGAGAGGAGCGTGGCATGTTGGGGGGCCGTGTTAGAGCTACGCTGTGTGAGTGCCTATTATGTGACGCAGGCTCTATACTCAGCATCTCTGACTGTCCTAACAACCCTATTAGATGGGGGTCATCATTCCCTGTTTCAGGACAAAGAGAGGAAAGCTCAGAGAAATTAAATAACTTGCCCAAAGTCACATGGCTGCCAAGTGGCAGAGCCAGGATTTGAACTCAGGTTTGACTGGCTCCAAAGTCCAGGTAACATGGACCGGCTGGAGGATGGGGCCTCGAAAAGGAGGGAGCAGAACCATGGGTGTAGATCACTAGGTGAGGTACACAGCAAACACGGAAAACATCATTCATTCCTTCATTCATTCAACAGATACGTACTGAGCACCTACACCAGGTACAAGACAGTCGTCTCAGTGTTGGGGTATCCTGACCTTCTGGAATTTCCTCATGGCTGTCAGACTCTGAAAATATCAAAAATAAATGATATAGTTTGTTAGATAGTGACAAGAGCTGTGGAGGGAAATAAATCGGGGAAAAGGCATAGGGATGCCAGGGTGGGGGTCCTATTTCCATGGGAAAGTCAAGAGGAGCCCCCCTGAGAAGATGCTAGTTGAGCAAAGACTGAGACGAGGCAGGAAGCGAGAAGAGCAGCTGATGGGGGACACAGCACAGGGTTGGACCCTGGGGCTCCAGGGGCCTGGTGTGTTTGAGAAACAGCAGCCAGTGAGTCAGAAATGGGGTGCTGAGGGAGGAGGGGAAGGAGATGGGATCTGAGAAGGAACGGGGGCGGTGGCTTTGACTTTGAGTCGGGAAGTTGTTGGAGGGTTCTGAACACAAAAACAGACCTGGACTGACCTGAGTTTTAAAGGAATTGTTCTGGCTCCTCAATGAGAATAGACCGGGCAGCAAGAAAGGAGGCAGGGAGACTAGTTAGGGGACCGTTGACATAACTCAGGCAAGAGATGGTGGGTGTTTGGTCCAGGGTAGTGGAGTGGAGATGGGGAGGTGTGGTCAGACTCTAAATAGGCTGAAAGTAGAACCACTAGGATGGCCTGATGGGTTGGGTATTAGTGTGAGAGGAAAGGAGTGGGTATGACTCCCAGGTTGGGTCTATGCAACGGAAGAGATGGAATTGACACACATGAGATGACGGCGACAACAAGAGGATCGGGGTTTTGTTAGGCAGATCAGGAATCAGTTTCGGAATCTGTATTACCTCTTAGGATTCCAAGCAAGGTCTTCCAACTAATTTGCCCTTGCTCTGTGCAGAGTCCAGGGACACTTGTGAACGCCTGCTGTGTACCTGTGACAAGGCTGCCATCGAGTGCTTGGCTCAATCCAGTATCAACTCTTCCCTGAACCTTCTGGACACCTCCTTCTGTCTGGCTCAGCCTCCGGGTAGGAAGAATGGGGTTCTGCGTCAGTGGTTGGGTTGATGATCTGGGGCAGGAGCTGGTATGGGACCCATCACTGCCGTGCATCTTCGGATGCTAAGTATAACCGTCTAACATCCCCCAAACCTACTGCTCTACGGAGACTTTCTGATGTGCTTTCTTCTCAGAGACAACCAGCAAAGAGCTGATGACCCTTCTGCCCAGAGGTAAGGCCTTCCAGGGAACCTGCCTCTTACTGGAACTACAGGGGCTGGCTACTGATGGGAGCTGGTGCATACCCCTCCTCCAGGGGCCTGCCTCACAGAAGCTGGAGTGACCCATGGCATTGGAGGTGTCCCCACCTCCCCCTGGCCAGGAGATCCCATGACTTCTGATAAACCCAATTCAAACATCCGACATCAAATGACCTTAGTGGGACAACACCAACATTGTCTCTTGCTACATGGACAGGTATAGATTTAATCCAATTAGGATGTAGATGTCAAGTTTTTCCGTCTCCTTGCTGGCTCTATAGTCAGAGCCCTGGTATGCAATGTGATCAGAACGAGGTCTAGTGCTCAGAGGGAGCAAGGTCCCTCCCAGCTGGGTGAGCTCCCGACTACTGAGGCCTCCCAGGAGGAGACCTGCTGCCTCCCTCCTCTGCCCTCCAGCGCCTGCAGCCAAAGGGGCACCTAGATCTGGACAGCGGCTCTTTCAAGGGGAGGCTGCTTTTAGTGCGTCTCTTTTCAGGACAGGCTCTTCATCACTGTCTACTGAACTAAGCAACTGGTGATTCCTGTTCTAAAACATGCATCTCATGGAAAAAGCTGGGGTTAAATTTATGCCTGTCGTTCCTTGTTCACCAAAAGTCCACGATCTCTCAACACCATGGGTATCTGGAGATGGGAAGTTCAAGCTCACCTCTGCAGAGCGTCCCTCCTCGCCTGGGGCTGGGGTCTCTCTCTCTCAGAACTAGCCCTGCAGTCTTTGATAGAGGAAGCTGATGTGGGTGTGAGCGCACGGATTTGTGGGTGTGTGCACGTGTGAATATGAGTGTGTATGGGTGTATGCAGAAATGTGTGCTTGTGTATGGATGTGGGTAGGTACGTGTGTGCATGTGTACTTGTGTATATGAGTGTGTGTGCGCATATCGTATTGCCATGTATCTTCTGAGTCCAGCGCTCTCTGTTATCTGCCACCTGCCTCCCTTTTGAACAGAGGTCTTCTCAAGTCAGGACACCATACTCCACAGCCCTTTCATTGCCTTCAGCCTGTGTCCCATGGTGTCACCTTCTCCACCGGAACCCAGCACTGGCTGGAGGCCCTCCTGAGCTGGGGCCTTGCTGGGCACCCCCATGTTTGGGGAGGTGTGAGAGAGGCAGGGAATCCTAAGACAAGATGAACAGCCCTTCTCTGGTAACAGCTTTTACGGCCCCTTCCTCCCCTGGGCCAGCAGTCCCCAGCCCGTCCTCTGAGATCGTTGGCACTTGGTGTTGACACTGTGTCCATCAGTCATTGCTATTGGAGGTTCTCTTTTTCAGTGGTTCCTGTGGAGCCCACAGACACCAGCCTGACGGCCCTCTCAGGAGAAGGTGAGCACCAGGGGACTGGCCTCCAACCCTCATACCCGTGTTCCAACTGTGCCACCTGCCTTCTTGCTGGAATTAGCCCCTCTAAAATGCCCTCAGCTTGGGTTTGCAATGGAACCACCAAAGTACATTCCAGAGCCATTCCTAGTTCCTCCTGACCCCCACATCTCTTCTCGACTTGCTCAGCTTTCTTCCACACTCCTCTTCCCACCTCAGTAGAATTGTCAGATAAAACGCAAGATGCCCACCCTCAGCCATGTAAAGTTGAAATTCAGATGAACCACAAATACTCTTAGTATAAGTATGTCCCAGAATCCGCACGGGCATACTCATACTTCTGTTGTTCATGTGAAAGTCAAATTTAACTGGGCCTCTTGTATTTTCATTGGCTAAATCTGGCAACCCTACACCTCAGGGAGGTCACTCTGCACAGCCACCTCCCTAGAGGTTTGTTTCTTTCTCTCCTTTGCTGCTGCTGCTGCTGCGAGGATAGAAGCAGAGGCTCATGGCGCCGCTCCCTCCTGGCCATCCTCCACGTCCAAGGGCATCTCACCCTCAACAGCTCCTTGGGGCTCAGGTCTAGAGAAAAGAGAAAATGGCACCTACCCTGAACCCGAGCTCCACCATGTGCCCTGGCCAAGCAGCAACCATTCCCAGCATGACTGGCAGTGCCACTTCCATTCTAAACTGAGGATATGCTGCGCACTTCACGGGCCCATCAGACAGTCAGAAAGTAACCCATAAATTGGTATTTTTTTCCATTTTCTTCAACCTGAACCACCAACACCTTTGGCACGGCCCTGGGAAAGATGTAAAGAAATCAAGGTTCCTCAAGGAGCCTAGAGTCTAAGTGGAGAGAGCGGACAGTGTGTGAGGAAAAGATACAGGGCTTGTCACTGTTGTCACCACCATAGAATGAAACAATTATTTTGGCATCAGGCAGATCTGGAATGACATCCTGGCTTCCCCATCTTTCAAACTATGAGACTCTGGAAGCGTGGTTTGATCTCTCTAAGCTTCAATTTCTTCCTTTGCACAAAGCAGGGATCAGCAAATTTTTCTGTAAAGGGCCAGACAGTTAATACTTTAGACTCTGTGAGCCATGGGACCTCTGTCACAGCACCTCAACCCTGCTGCTGCGGCAGGAAAGCAGCCAGAGACAACTGTAACTGGGTGGGTGTGGTTGTGTTTCCATAAAACTTTATTTACAAAACCAGGCTGGGGGTTGGGCCATGGGTCAACAGTCCCTGGAAAGGGATGATTATACCCACCCTTTAGGGTAGCAGAAGGATTAAATGAGACAGAGCCTGGGAAGATTCTGGACCAGCATCCTCTTCTAGAAATTTCAGTGTGGCTATAAAAACAACACATCATCAAATCACACACAGGACACTGAACGACTTGCTTAAAATACGTCATCTCACTTAATGCTCACACAACCCTACGAAATAATTGCTATAAGCTCTGTGTTAAGATGGTAAATTGAGACGGAGAGAGAAGTTGTCCAAGGCACAGAGCCAAGTGGTAGGGCTGAGATTTGAGACCTGAGATGTGTCCATCCTTCCAGACTAATCTCCCTCTTAAGCTGTCTTCCCACAAGGACCTGTTCCAACCAGGGGAAAGAATGGTCCTTTCTCCCAAAGAGGCCGTTGGCTGGTGTCTTTGCCTAAACACAGGACTGACCCTATCTGGCGGCTTGTCCACTGAATGGAGACCTAAGTGGGCACCCATGTGCAGACACAGTCCCCTATCAGCTTGCCATGACCGCCACTCCTCAGTCCCTCCGCTCCCAAACCTGATTCATTTGCAGGTGGCCCCTGCCTGGCTTACACGCCGAGCTGGACCGATAACTGAAGTTGGGTGCTTTCTTTTCACAGTGGCTGCTGAGCCCAGAGCTGACCGACTGACCACTCTCTCCGGGACAAGTAAGCAGAGGGGACTTCTGAGGAGGACATCATGGAATCCAGTGGAGAAATGCCATCTAAATATTTGTGTTCAGTTCTGGTGACCACTTCTTGAGAGGGTCTGGAGGAAATACTCTACCCATTTTGCAGCTTATGTACGAAACCGAGGCTCTGGGAGGTTAAAAGTTCCAGTGACTTATTGAACGGGTCTCTAACCCCAGACTTCAAGCTGTATGACTTGCTTTCTTTCCACTATACAATAGTGACTCACTGAGAACCACATTTTACCTAAAAATATCTATGCCAAGATGTCATTAGAAGAATTAACCTGTTTCCTTTGCTTTTGGTGAGTAACAACCATCAACCTTTATTAATAAGTATAAATCATTGACAATAACTATTCAGTAATTACCAAGAATGAATAAGTAAACAAATGGATTCCTTGGTTAACAGGCAGTGACATTGTTGAGGACCTGGGTGTGCCAGGGTGTTCCTGAGCCCCATACACGTTCTCTGAGTTACCCGGGTCCTAGGAGACCTGTTATTGCCATTTCACAGATAAAGGAGAAGCTCTGGGAGGTAGCGTCCTCGGCCCAGGATGGTACGGTACAGCTTAGTAATCATTCAGTTCTGAATCTGTACATTCTGTCTTTGCAGAGAGCCAGCTGCCCCAGCTTAGAACCCTTGAGATTCTCTCTGACGGAGCATTTGTGTCCACATCAGTACATTTCAAAGCCTGATTTTCACATAACACCATCATAATCTTGATCTTTGACACACCAAATTTAAGGCAATTCCTTCCTTTTCAAAGCATTTTGAAGCACCATCTCTAGCTCTTTGTGATACAGTCAGAAGTGAAATAATAGTCTAGCCTAGTGGTTAGGAGGGTCACCTTCAGCCAGGCGCCCTGGGTTTGCATTCTGCCGCTTCCTAGTTCCGTGACCTTGAGCAAGTGATCTAACGTTTCTGTGTGCCCCCTTTTTCATCTCTGGGTGAGAGGGAGCACAGCACTAGCTCATCAGGTTGTTGCAGAGTTGATACAAGCAAAACTCTTAGTGTTGTCCCTGACATGCAGTAGGTCTTGGTCTGCTCTGGCTGCTCTAACAAAGTACCCCAGACTAGGTGGCCATAAACAATAGAAATTTATTTTTCTTGGTTCCTGAGGCTGGAAGTCCAAGATTAAGGTGCCAAGATTAAGCATGGTCAAGTTCTGGTGAGAGTCCGTTTCCTGGTTCAGAGATGGCCATCTTCTCAGCGGTAACCTCAGTGGCAGAAGGGGCAAGGAGGCTGTCTGGCATCTCTTTCGAGATGCACGGGGCTGGCCTAGTGGCGCAGCGGTTAGGTTCGCACGTTCTGCTTCTTAGTGGCCCGGGGTTCGCCAGTTCGGATCCCGGGTGCGGAGATGGCACTGCTTGGCAAAAGCCATGCTGTGGGAGGCATCCCATGTATAAAGTAGAGGAAGATGGGCATGGATGTTAGCTCAGGGCCAGTCTTCCTCAGCAAAAAGAGGAGGGTTGGCAGTAGTTAGCTCAGGGCTAATCTTCCTCAAAAAAAAGAAAAAAAAGCACGAATTCTATTCATGACCACTCCTCCTCATGACCTACTCACCTCCTACAGTCCCCACCGCCCAATAACATTATATTGGGGAAGGGGGGGGTTTCAACATATGAATTTTGGGGGGGGACACAAACATTCAGTCTATAGCATAGCAGGAACTTAGTAACAGTTAAACAACAACAGACTCATTTTACAAAGAAACCAGGCTCAGGAGCCTTCCCGGAGCCACGCAGGAAGCAACTGGAACCACACAGTTCTGCTGCCCCATTCGTCTCTGTGCAAAAAAAATACGATGAAAATATTTTTTGTGTTTTCTTCTTTTTCTCTTCTGGAGAAATCTGCTTTCCCAAAGTATTTCAAAGATTTACCTGCTTCCGGCCTGACAAGTTGCCGCTGCATTTGCTAGCAAGCCTGTGTCTGGGGGTCTTTCTGACTCAGCAGGGACCCCGTCATCACCAGCTCTCCTGGGAGGCAACCAGGGGCAGAGCGAAGAGCACGTTGCCTCCTGTACCCAGTGGGATAGGAATCGTCACTGGGAAATGTGGTGGGACAGGCTGGGGTTGACACTCACCCTGTCTCTCTTCTTTTGGGAACAGAACCAGGCCAAGACCGGGAAGATCCAGAAGCCGAGAGGGCCACACCGCCTCCAGGTACGTGCCCTCAGCTTCCCCTGTCTCTGTATACAGTGTTGTCCCCTGTACCTTTATGAAACCAGGTGTGCTCCAAAAACAGAAGAAATCATTGAAGCCAATTTACTTTTATGCCCAAAGGTAGACAAACGAAATTAAAAGATAGATCCATTAGTAGGAAGAAATGGAAACTTACCTGCTAAAGAGATCCAGTTAGAAAAATAGAGAAAACTATAGTTTTCTATTAAAATCACCTGTAATTCCACATTATAAAGATAGCCACTTTTAATATTTGAAGATGCTTTCTCCTAAACATATCTACGAACATGAATAAAATGAATCTGATGTCACCTGGCAGCCGTAGCTTCGCAGTCTTGGTTGCATCACTTCATACAATGTGATGATGTTCTCCTGACGTTGAATATTTCTCTGTAACATCCTTTTTAGTGGGTGTACAGTAGCTCCATGTATGGAATCCCATACTTGACTTAACCAATTATTTCTATCATTTGTTATTATAAATAATAGATACGCACTTTCTTTATGCCCCTCCACTGCTAGTTAATTCGTCAGGATAAACGCCTAGAAGTTGAATTACTGAATAAAGGAGGTAATCATTTTAGGGCTCTTGATATGTTGCCAAATTGCCCTGGAGAAAAGTTGAGCCACTTTACACTCATGTGCACATTCCAGTAGCCAATACTGGAGTACTATTATTTAAAAACAAGCAAACAAAACACCTCTACCCATTTTAATAGAAAAAAGATGGTAGCTTATATTTTTTCCTTCTCCTCTCTGATGAAAATTGAAAGTGGTACTTTCTGTACCTGCCCTGGCCTGGGCTCTCACTCGGGGACCTTTTGACCAGGCCTAGACAGAACTCCCAAATCTTGCCTGAATTTATGGAGGTGGGTCATCAGCATCGGAGCTCAGGGTATCGAGACTTGGGCTGACTTTTGCCCTGAGAGGCACTGTGACCTTCTCAGCATGGGAGGTGCGGGGGCCAGAGGAATTCACTCCCCAGGGAGGTGGTTAATACCAACTGCCCTCATCCAAGGGGAGTGTAGGGCCTCAATAATCCAGAAAGCTCTTCCTCAGGGGTGAGAGCTTCCAGCAGGAGACTCAGACTCAACAGGCAGCAGAACATGGGCTTCTGGGAACTCCAGCCACATGTAGAACTTTCCATCTCGAGTGTCTTTCACCCCAGATTAAATGGACAGATGTTTTCACGTTCCTTGAGCTATTCTAATGGCCACTCTTAGCTGTTTCCTCCTTGCTAGGCATTTAGCTTGAAGGATTATTCAAATGCCAAAATGGGTACTATTAATAATTTAACTAATAGTTAAAATAGTAGACCATGAGTAAGATTGAGAGAGGCTGCGTGATTTGCCCAAGGACATCCATCCAGGGTGTGACTGAGCTAAAATTCAAAGTCGGGCTTCTTTACCTCTAAAACTATATTCTTTGCCCTTGACTACAATGATTTGGCAAGCTTCATCAAAGAGAAACAGCCAGGCATTTGTTAAAGGCGGCACGACAGGTTTTATTTAGGCTTCTGCAGCGGGAGAGAGAGCTTTCAGGATAAACTGAGCTCCACTGGGATCTGTGCAGAGGTGATTGGGCCATTGAAAGGGAGAACGAGGGAGGATGGAGGGGAAACTAGCAGGGGCCCCAGCAGAGTCAGGGAAGTGGATAGTTTCAAAGAGCAGGTAGAGGGGCCATTTCCCCAGACCTGTTAGGTAAGGCAGGGGTCAGGTCAGGTGGGATCTCGAACAGTGAATTCTCTGGGCTGCTTTGAGCCTTCTCAGGCAGGAACTTAAGAGGGAGTTGGGGGCTGGGCCATCCGGGGGACATGGCTTCAGCTGTTAAAAACCAGGCTAGGGTTTGTTTAAGTCTCTGAGTGAGGGTGGGGGGAAGGGCACAAAATTCTTCATGCCAAGAGTTTGCAGTTCTCAAAAGGCCAAGGTTGAGGCCTAGCTGAGAAGAGGGCTCAGAGGAGCCTGACTAAAGTTCGGTCAAGGAGAGAGTCTTGGTCATTTTCCAGTAGTCAGGAGCATGATAGAAAGAAACTGGCCAACAGATTTCTATTTGTGGGATTGGAGAACTGGGCAGGATGCTAAACCCAGGAGACCGAGGTTACGACAGGGGCTATTACAGCATTGCTCCTAAACCATCGGGACTGGAGCGTTGAGTGAGAGGAGACAGAAGCCCAGAAGTACGAAGCAAACCAATATGGCGGGTTTGGGGAAAGACTGCAAGTCAGTGGACCCAAAGACACTGGGAACTAAGCCTGGGTCAGCAGATGGGCGAAGTGGAGGCCATGGATGCTCCCTTTGTCTGGATCAGACTGGGCTGGAGATTTTGGCCTGTGGGCTGGAGACTTGACTGCCTCTGGCTATGAGGTCAGGTGGGACTGAGACGCAAGAGCAGAGGGGCATCCAGACAGTACCAGGGAGCCTGTGTGAGGGAGGCCAGATCACGGAAGTCTTGCCGGCCATGGTGAGGACCTTGCACTTAATTCTGAGTATGATGAGAAGCTACTGCAGTGTTTGAGGGGTTTGAGGAGGAGTTTGCTTGTCTAAATTATTGTAGACCATGAGTTGGCTTAATTTCTCCACCATTCCTTTATGTCTTCACTGTGAGCACCATGATGGGCCTCCACTTGGCAGGTGCATGACAGTAAACACAACACAAACCCAGGCCTGAGCGGCTGTGACAGTTCTCATCTGCGAGATGTCATCCAGATGGTCTAGCAGAGGCTCCTGTTGGTTTTAAGGTTATCATAGAAAATCTGGAAATTCTCATGTCGCATTCATGGATCCCCAAGACTGCCCTGATGTCTGCAAACCCAGGCTGAGGACACTCTCTGAACACTTTATTGTGCCGAAATACCTGTCTGGATTTGGCCTTGACCATGTGTCCATCTGCACATCTCTTCTTGAACCACTTTTTGAATACAGACCATAAAGTTGTGTGTTTTCAGGATCAGCAGAGATTGTTGCCACAGCCAGAAGTGTAACCATTGTCCCCGCTGGCATGAAGTCCTTAGGGTTGGCTGTGTCATCCATCAAAAGTGGTCCTGAGGAAACATCTGGAAAAGGTGAGCAGAAGCAGGCAGGCGGAGAAGGGTCTGTCCTCTCCCAGCCTTGGATTCTTTGGTTGGGCCGTTAACAAAGCCCCAAAGGCCACTGTATCACACTGTGACCCTCTCCTGTCGGTGTGACCAGAAGGTACTGACCCCCTTGCCAGCTGAGCTCATGAGGCTCCGAGGGGACATGATTGCCTGTGGCCACTCAGCTGCCGGGAGGCTGAGCCGGGGAAAGGACCACTCTTATTGGCCCAGAAGGAGAGAGCTTGGCATCGTCCACACCATGGTTTGTTGGAAAGAAGGAAACACTTGGGTTTTAGTAACTCTGCCTTTGTCTCTCCTTCCTCGGGGCGCCTTACCAAAGGCCCTGCACCTGCAAGGAGCCACAGCCAGTTGGACCCAGAGGAGGACTTTGTTAATCTCTGGGTAGGTCCTCCCCAGCCGGCGATGCAGAGCTATGGAGAAAGCCCAGCTGAGTGGGAGGCTGAGCCGGGAGCCCCACACAAGGCCTCTGGCTTCTTAGTTCTTCCCCTACCCAACCTATAGTGATGGGGTCTGCACAGGAGACTTGAGCCTAACTCGCCCAAAGTTACAGGCAGAGGAGGAGGGGAATGGGGCAGTGGGGAGGCAGAGAGAGAGAGAGAGAAAGAGAATCAAGATTCTGAAAAGCAGGCCCTCCCAGGGTGTGTGAACCCGATGGAGCCAGGAAGTCTGAGAGGACAGCCAGGATGCCTCCAGGATGCTGGGCCCTGCGGGGGGCTGAGTGCAACACAGTTACTCCCCTCAGTAATAAAATGTGGCCCACAGAGCACCTTTGGTCCTGATGAGTCCCCACGCCCCGGGATACTTAGGGGGATTTAAGACTTGCTCTCTGAAAGACAACTCGTCCCAGACAGGGGTACTAGCCAGAAAGCAGTTTCCTCAGAAGAATGGTGATGGGAGGCTGAGAACATGGGGTTTCCTCGTCTGATCAGTGGCCACGTGATCACTGCCGCCTTCTGGGAACTGTCCCCATGTTCCTTGCTCTCCTGAGAGTCCGTTTCTCCCCAGCCTGTGACAGGTTCACCTTCCTGCACCTGGGAAGTGAGGACAACACGTGGGTGATGCCACAGCTGGGAGAGATGCTCTTTTGTCTGACATCCCGGTGCCCAGAGGAATTTGAATCTTACGGATGTTATTGTGGCCAAGAAGGACGAGGTGAACCAAGGGATGCTCTGGACAGGTATGGCGGGCCGGTGGTGCTGATGCTGTCTGTAGTGGGAGGTGATATGCCTCCTCAATGATGGACATTGCTTTAGGCTTCACAAAGAGCTTGTTGCGTGCATGACCTCACTCAGGCTGGCTCGTCTCCATTATAGGCCCATTTTCCTGACGAGCAGCTGAGGCTCAGCCTTGTCTGAGGTCATTTAGCTACAAAGGGGCAGAGCCAGATGGGTCCAGATCTTTTGATTTGGGAGTCCGTAGGTCTTTTAGCTCTACCACAGCTGCCCAGCTGCCCTAAGAGGGTCGATCTGCAAACACACTTCTGAAGACCCCAAGTCTGCCTATTTTGCAATGAGCAACATGTGGAATTGGGGTCTCCAGTTGATTTGCTCTGCAAGAGGCCACATTGAAATTAGCTTCTCAGCAACTTTTAAATGTAACTGCTAAATTTTATATCTACCACTCTTGGAAAAATTTTCACTGACCTCATGCATTCATGAATCCATTCATTCATTTATATGTGCGTTCAACCCACATTTCTTGAGCTTTTGCTCTGTGCTAGGCACTAGGCTACGTGGTGGAGAAACAAAAATGATTAAACCTGAACAAAGCAGATCAAAACAAACTGCCTGTGCCCAATAGGAGCTTGCAAAGTGAAAGAGATGGACAATTAAACAAAAATACCACCTTATCTAATAAAGGCGGTGGGAGAAACGGAGAAAACGATGGAGAAAACCTGGAGAAGAGTTTGAGAAGATTCTGGGAGTAGAGTTGATAAAGTGTAAAGATTGATTGCACATGGGCCTCCATCCATGGCCAGCTGAGAGCTCTGCGTTGAAAACGCGTAGGGCCCTCTCGGTGGGCGTGGTTGCCAAAGGAAAATCAACAGCTGTAGCTGATATTGAAAAAAAGAAAAGGACAAGCCTTGCTGTAGTGAATGCAAAGGCTAGAGTAATGGCAGGAACATGGAACATGTGCATGGCAGGTCACACAGTGTCTGCATGGCTGTGTTACCCACCCACGCACCCGCCTCTACCATAGTTCTTTCTCCCGTCTCCACTGCACAGCCATCCTGGCTGCATCATCGAGCCTCTGCAGGGCAATCAGTGAAACCAGGGGCTCTGTGCGCAGCCAACCTTCAAAACTCACCTCCCGCCAGGTGACACTACGGAAGTTTTATTCTAGCCGAGTGTATACCACACTGTGGAATCACGTTTACATTATGAGGTTCGACAATGTGGCCTCCGCTCTCCAAGACACAGAACAGTTTAAACATTGCTCCCGAGGCCACAGCACTCAATGAGATCTCGGCAGCAGGAGTCCCTGTGTTCGGATGAGCCCCAGGGGAAGAAAGTGGGAGTGCTTTGGCAGAGGTGTCCTCATCCCTGACCACATTTCACAAAAATACAAGATCTGACCAGGCAGGCAAGGGAGGCACGCTGTGGCTTCCTTGGCATGCGTAAGGAAGAAACTGCAAACCTGAAAAGCATCGCCTCAATCAAGGAAGAGGCAGTCAGACTGGTCCCGATTTCTGCAAGGGTGTCTCTTCAAAACCACGCATCCTTTATATTCTGGGCCCCCTGAATGGTTTTCAAGGGTATTTTGATCATCCGTGATTTCTGATCCACTCCCTGACTTCAGATTTTAACTATTATATTAACTATGCACCGCCACCCACCCCAGCCAAACGCAGACACAAGATAGCGTGGCTCTGCGGTAAGAACAGCTCACTGGGGGCTGCCATTCGTAGCTGACACCAACCCCCAGCCGTTGGCTAGTGTGACATGCGAGGCGGGGTTGTTCCTCCGGCTGCTGGCCACGTGGAGAGCTTGGTGATGCTGATGCTTGGCTGAGCACAAGCGCTATGGAAAGCTGCGTGTCTGTGACGGAGCCCTGCTCGGGCTGTGGTCTCCGAGATCGAGTGAGAGTTACTAAAGGACAAGGACAAGTTAAACAGCGCGGCTTTAGGGAGCAATTGTAAGCCCCTAGTGGCTGGAGCCCACACAAGTCTCCTTAGGATGTCCATCTGGCTGAGGGGGACACCGGAATCTGTGAGGCTTTATCAGGCCAGTTGGGCAGGTCTAAAATGCGAGACATTAATTCATTCCCATATGTTTACTGAGGTCTTGCTCCCTGCTGGACACTTTTCTAGATGCAGTTCTTTATTTAAGCTCAAGATAGTTACTCTGCTCTCTTTCAAGGCTGGAGACAAAGCAGGGTGCCCTATGGATGTGTGACTAATTGTTCTATTATGTAAAAGGTTGGGGGGAGGGGTCACCACTAGCCTATGTGGTACCTTTGTGTACACTAAAAATGGTACCCCTTCCTTAAGACTCTTTATTTCCATCTGTTGGAAAATCACTGTAATAAATATGCAAACCACCCATCTTTGCAATCAACACAGTCATAATAAAAATACAAAAAAAATTTAAATAATAAGATGCATACAGTGTGATTGACACTGCCTTAGGTATGGCATCTTTGTGCAGTACACAACCTGAGCAACCATACATGGTGGCCCTTGATGTATATATAAATCAGCCCAACGTGCACTGGAAAGGAGGCAGTGGCTTCTCTCAGGACTACAGGGAGTGTGGGAGAAGCAGATCTTGAGGGAGTTATGGGGGAGCTGGGAGCTCTGGGCAGTAAAAAGTTTTCCTTGGTCTTAGGTGCTGTTTCTCCCATCACTGCTGCCTGGAGCAGGTGAGAAGGCTGGGCTGTCTGCTCGAGAGGCTTTCTCAGTCGCCGGTGCTGTGCGTGGATGGCGCACCCAAGTGTAAGTGCTGAGGGGCTACACGGCGAGTGATGCTTTCATTCAGGTCAGCATCTCGGCCCTAGCTCGTGCTTCCGGATGCTTCCCCAAGCCCTTGCTCGTCTATCACGTGACTCACACTCTTCCTAACTCTGAGGCACGTTTAGTACCCTTGTTCCACTGAGGAGGAGGCTCAAGTTCAAGAGGCTAAGCCGGCTGCCTAGAGTCGCCGAGCTGGTTAGCGCAGACCGTGAAGCACAGAAACAGCCCGTGCTTACGGAGGGCTTGCGATGAGCCCTTCTGAGCCCTGAGCTGTGTTACCGGAGCCGATCCTCACAACAATCCTCTGAGGCCTCACTGAGTCCTCCCGTTTCACGGAGGCCGTGGCCGAGGCCCCGGACCGCGCAGGTAGACGTGCTGGAGCGGGAAGTGCACCTGTCAAAGCAGACCGTCTCAGGCCCAGGACGGGGTCCTCACCGTGCCAGTGGATCTCTTTTCCTAAGAAGCAGAAAACTCTCAAGTGCGATCTCCCACACAAAAGGGGAGCGGCTCTGGCTGAAGGCAGAGGTGGGCCTGCGGCTCTATTCCTCCCCGACCCGGAAGCCAGAGGCTCCTCTGGGGGCGCTCGGGGTGGTGGACGTGTGCAAACTGCCACGCCCCCCCGAGCATCACTCTTACAGCGAGGCCGGCTTTAGCGCTGGCTTTCTCTTCATCCTCTGGCTCCACATCAGCGGATGCGTTTCCCTTCTGCTCTGCAGTTTAAAAGGAAATGCTCCCCGTAGCATCTCACGAGAGCCCTGCGAGGGCTTGCTCTTCTCCTCGCTTTCTGTCTGCGGAAGCTGCTGGCTGGGCCTTCAGTCCCCCTTCCTTGCTCTGCACTCCCTCAGCATGGACCTCGTGCCGTCGGGTCCTGTAGGATGGCGTGTGCCTCTCCCTTCCCGGGAGCTCCCTGCTTACACGTCAGTCATCCTTTCAGTTATTCAATTATCCAACAAACCTTCATAGGCAACTAGGGAAACGATAAACATGCGTGTCCCCTGCCTCAAACTGCTCACAGCCTGGAAGGAAGAGACACAAGCAAGGGGCTGTTCCAGTCTCGTGTAATACGTGCAGCACAGCGCGCCCAGAGCATGGGTAAGGGGAGTGTGAGCCTGCAGAGGAGGGCAGGGAGGCTGCGGAAGTTAGGAGGAGTCAGAAGACAGAGAGGGGAGATCTCACAGGAGGTTAACGGGTTCCCAGGTGGCCATGCTGGGTGTGGCTGTTGCAAGAAACGGGAAGAGGAAAATCACAGCATTTGGGGCAGTTTAGGAACTCCGCATGGTGCTGTATCATCGAGGAGAAAGTGAGGTTGGGGGCACCGCTGTGGTGCAAGGTGAGGTTGCAGGGACAAATAAGTACCAGATCATGAAGCCAAGACTGAAACATTTATATTTTGTCCCACAGGGGGACTAGGCGCTGGGGGAGGGTTTAGAGCCCATGAGTGACAGGACCGACGATTATCGTATGATGCAATCACGCTATTAGGGCTCCTCTGCTCAGCTGAGGCTTCTCCATCCCTCCGCTCTCACAGAACCCAGGAAACCTGCATCTGGAGCCTGAACTCCTACGGAGCTTCAGTGAACGGATTCTGACCCTCTGTGAGCTCCGAGCACAGTGTCCCGTCCCAGATGCAGGTGTCGGGTAATGAGACATGAGGGCATCTCGGAGCTGGCTCTGTGCGGTCCTGACGCTCGGGCAGAGTGGCTCTAGGGGAGCAGGCTTATGTGTGTCCACTCTGCTCTCTTGTCTCTCCTCTTTCTGCTTCCTGCTGTTGAAATGCAACAGGTGTGTCTGGTCTGCTGGGACGGCCCGGGCAGGAGATTCGGAGGGTCAGTGTGATGAGTAAAAATCTGGTTGGTCTGGGTGAGGAACACTCCACCGTAGGATCCGACGAAAAAATTATGCAGCCCAAATACGTCTCTGAAAACTACAGGTCACGAGGATAATATTTGCAGGACGCTGATCTATGTCTAAGCACCTTCAAATACATTATTTCGTTTGAGTTACAGATGCTATCCTTCCCCACCTGCACTGTGTGCAACTGAACAGTCAAGAATTAGGTAGGGTTGCCAGATCTAGCAAGTAGAAATACAAAAAAGTACAAATGGCAAAAAAAAAAAATAAATTCTGCAGTGACAGAAGGAACTGCAGGGTAGGATTCAACGGGAGCCCACAAGACACTTCATTCAGCTGGAGGCTCGAGGAAGCTTTCTGGGGGTGGGGACGCCACATGGAATCTTGACAGACAAGGATGAGTTAACCAGGAGGAGAAAGCTAGAATGTTCCCAGTCGAGGGATCAGTGGATGCCGGACATCAAGAGGTTCAAGATGAGGGTGGGAGGGCAGGGCTGAAGGGGCAGCCGGGCCGGCCGTGGAGGCCTCCACGTGCCGTCCTACAATGTCTCATGTCTGCCGCTCTGTTCTTGCCCTCTAAGGTGTGGGGCAGAGCTTGTGCGCGAAGCTGCTTTGTGCCTGTGACCAGACGGTGGCTGAGTGCATGGCCTCCGCCGTCTTTAACCAAAGCCTCAAGTCATCAGGGAGACAAGAGTGCCAGGGCCACCAGCTATCCTGCGAGGACGGCACGGGCGGAGGGCCTTCAGCTCCCTCCCTCGGCTCCAGCTCCGAAGAGAACAGCGAGGAAGCCACACCCCACACGGAGGGCTTGAGAAGAACCAGAATATTTCTGGGGAAGTCACTTGGTCCCAGGGGGACCAGGCCACACCATGGTCCCAGATAGATCCCCAGAGAAAATGACAAGCACGCCCTGTAGTTCTGTCTCTCCCATTCCCTTAACCTCCCCGGGCTCCGTCTCCTCTCTCCTCTGTCCTCCTCTGAGCAGAGGCTCAAAGGGAAGAGAGGGAGCGAGACTGTCAGCTCACATTCACAAGCGTATCTGGAGAAGGCACACTTCCTGTAGTGCACTATGGAAACTCAATAAATATGCCCATCAACGTTTCTTTGTTTTGCTTTGTTTTTAAGAAATGTTGTAGATACTGGTGCATGGGTAGATTGCAAAGGTGAGATGACAGAGACAATGAAGGGGAAAAAAATCTCTCTTCTCCCCAATCATGGAAAGCTATTTTTTCCTCTATTACAAAAAAAAGATAGAGGCCAGCCTGGTGGTGCAGTGGTTAACTGCGCTTGTTCCACTTCGGTGGCCCGGGGTTCACCACTGGTTCGGATCCCAGGTGTGGACCTATACACTGCTTGACAAGCCATGCTGTGGCGGGTGTCCCACATAGAAAGTAGAGGAAGATGGGCTTGGATCTTAGCTCAGGGCCAGTCTTCCTCAGCAAGAAGAGGAGGATTGGCAGAGGTTAGCTCAGGGCTAATCATCCTCAAAAAAAAAAATTTTAAAAAAGGGAAAAAAATAGAAGGGAGTATATTTAATCAATCTTACGCAATCACCTATGGGTCCCCAAATACCCACCAAAGATGTATGCAGAGTGCTATGTGCCCTAAAAGTACCCTTGCCACTCTAGTTATTAAGAGAGTGACCCTGTGCCACAGCCACCACCCTGAAGAGTCGCTGCTTACCTTGTCTTGGGTCCTGGACTTTTAATTTTTTTTTTCAATAGGGTTTATCCCAGTGAATGGAAGGTTAGGGAATGCAAATGCCCAGTCTGACACAGGTTGATAAATATTATGGTAGTTAACAAAACCTGAAATCATATCCATCCATCCACTCACCCAATAGTTATTGAGATTTCACTGGGTACCAGGCAAACGGCAATGTGCCACCAGAATCCCCCTCAAGATTCAACAGGGACACAAACACTGGCTCCCATCACATCCTTGGTTCTCGGTCCCCATAAACCAGGTGTCCTGTCAGGAGATGATCCGGAGTCCCTGCTGCTCCTCAGATGGGAGAGCAGACCCTCTGAAGAGCTCAGTGTCTGCTGACCCTCACGTGCAGGAAAATCTTCGGAAGTTGGCAACACCTTAAGAAATCCAAAGGTCATGTCGCCAAGCCCACAGCTGCTATCCTTCCCCACCTCCCAGGGGAATCACGTGGTGAGCACCTTCTGACAAGTCCAACATACTGGAATCTCTTTAACAACGTGACCTTAACTAACAAGCTACGTCTGGTTCCCCCAGAAGTGGACCCTTAGACAAGGACTTGAGGGCAAGCAGTTTATTTGGGAAGTGAAGGAAACACTGAGAGGAGAGCAAAGAAATAAGACAGGACAGGAAAGGCAGTCAAGGAAGGGTGCATCATCGAGCAGGTCGCCACTAGAAGCAGAATACACACGCACACACACACACACGAGGAGAGAGAGGCAGTAACTTCTATCAGATGAGCCACTACTCCCGTGGAAGGTGGTTTCCTTCTGGCCTGCTGCACTTGGGGACAAGCAGGCTCCAACAGCCAGAAAAAGCCTCTAGGCAGAGAAAGGCAGGTGCTAGCAGATGGCAGTCAGCCAGCAGACACTGACATGGCAAAGGTGAGCAGTGTCAGCAATGGCATTTGCTGCAACTGGTAACTTGCTTGCTGGCTCCTCTTTCCCTCCCTTTAACCTGGCAGGTATTTACTAAGTGCCCACTCCCCGTGGCAGTCACTGGGCCAGGCCGGCCACATGTACGGTGACCATCTGCCTTCTCCACATCTTCACCTGAGGCAGCCGAATGTTGCTGAATGGAAAAAGCAACTGAGCCAGCTGACCCGCTTCACTTTAGGTTCACGACCACAAAACCTCGCATGGGTGTTCAATCTCTTCTTAAGAAGCTGATGCTTCGGCTCTCCAAGACAATTGTTTGGTCCCTCCTGTCCTCTCCTCGAATGTCCCACAACTCCCCCTCTCTCTCAGCTGACGACTGTCAAGAGCTGTGCAACTTAAGTTAGCCTGCATTTCATGGATGCTGGAGAAGACAGGAGACACTTGGGTCAGAGACCAAGGACTTTCTTACTTACAGCAGTGGCAGTAGCCTGACTGTCAGCATTTATTCTGGTTCCTCAAGCCCTGAAGCAATGCAAGGAGGGCCAGGTAACACCTACACACACGGTGGGTTTCATTACACGGGAGAATCCTGAGTTTAGGGAACCTAGGACTTTTGTAATTGGCTGTAAGCCTGTTTGACCTTTACCCCAGCAGAAGACATTGTCTTTACTATGTTTGACAGTAAGCATGGCTATCCTTGGCTCCAAAGGGAGACGCCGTTTATCTTCCAAGTCTGTTTGCTATACCACATCTCTGAAAAGATAGTCCAGAATAAAGGCAGTTAGTGTCTTGGCTCATAAGACATGCAGAAATGCAAGACACACGTGGAGAATTGCCTAGCGACAATGATCTCACCTAATACTCCACTGAGAAAATTGAAGCTTTCCAATGGGAATGCCCTCATTTCCTGACACCAAAGTTACAAAGTCACCTGCATAGTCTTCCTCTTCCTTCTTGTTTTAAGGGTTTCTTATCCATAACAAAGGCCAATCCCCCCACATACGCTCTGGGGACAATGCCCCATTGCCTTCTCCAGGGTTTGATTGCTGCAAATATCTTTTCTTTATGCTGCATCAATTCATCCCTCTCTTCTTCCTACCATTCCAATCAGCATGCAAACATGCCCTAGAATCTCCCATTTTTAAAAATCCTTCCCTTGGCTCATTCAGCAACATGGGGTAAATTTGCAATTGTAAATCTGATGCTCATAGATTTCGTCTTGATCTTAAATATCAGACTAGATGGCGTTATGTTGGACACCTCTTGCCTCACTTCACATTGTCTAATCCCTGCCTCTTACTCCAGACAATGCTATGATACCCAGCTCCATACAGGCTTGGACCCGCCTCACTCATGGAGGTGGGATCTGACCTGCCTTCTGCACTGCCAGACTTTTTGCATTCTGAGAAAGGACCTCTCTGAGAATGAGGTGTGGGGCACCTTGGGAAACCACTCAGCACTCAAGCACACACAATCCAGAAATGTGGGGGAGTTAATGCCAACAGGGCCATCCTTGACCACGAAGAACAGAAGCCGAAGGATACATGCTCCCCGACTTTCATCATCTGGGTGGACAGTTCTGAGATTATTTCATGAGACTCTACAGAATGTCCAGTAGGATGGATCTCTAGTCACCTACAGTGACGGCCAATTTATAAACGAATCCTCTCCTTCCATCTCACTGGGCCAGTCCCTTGCTGGGGTGCCCTGGGCTCACTTCCCAGGCTAACCCCTGAATGCAAGCCTTGGTCTTAGGCTCTGCTTTAGGAGAACTAGGCTAAGCTAGTGCCTTTCGAATAGTCCACCTCTGACTCAAAGTGTAAGCAAAAGGAGAATACAGCAAAACCAAGAGCAGAGTTTGACACTCCACCTTGGCTCTGCGTTTTCATTCTTGAACTTGGTATTTGAGATCAATAATTTATCAGATGAGCGAACAGGTAACAGGATCCAACAAGTCAGAATTGGAAAGAAAGCCTATGAGATAGGACAGATATCATACAGATCGTTCATTTTCTACCTAAAAATCAGGTTCAGAAACGTGGAGTGACGGGCCTAAGACTATGGAACTGAGACAGCCGCTGAGGTTGCCGAAGTGCCAGTGTAGCAAACTCAAGGAGGGTTATCATAATGATAAACACATACTGAATGCTTACTCTGTTCCATGTAGGCATGGCACAATGAACCTCTTCTAAGTGATGCACTTCTTCCTCACAGTTAACCTCTGAGGGCAGAACTCACTGTCCTCATTTTACAGGTGAGGACCTCAAAGCTCAAGGTTAGGCAGTTGCCTAAGCCACCAGCCAGGAAGTGGCAGGGTTGGATTTGAACCCAGAGCCCATGCTCCTCACTGCCCCACTACACTGTCTAAAGGAAGTCCCCTAATCCCAATCAGGCCATGAGGTACAGCTCCACAAGGGGTAGAAAATGCAAATCAGGGTGGCAGAGGGTGGCAGAGGGTGCCAGAGAGTAGCTATTTTTTCAGAGACAGGCTTCATGTAATTTACACAGCAAGGAGATAGACCTGAACCACAAACATTAAGACTGACGTGCTCCCACTCTGAGCTTTCCCTTAGCTCTGTTTCGTCACGACTGGCAGTTACGGTTCTGATACTTCCCGTGTATGTGAGGATGAAGCCACTTGGCAATTTGATTTTTACTAAAGCTCATCTTTAACTAAAGCAAAATACTGAATAAATTTAAGAAATGTAATAATAGCTATTATAAAAATGTACTTATACAGAAGTAATTTGATTTTGTTTTATTGCTTACATATGAACTGCACGTGAATTTTTACATTTCAAAAAACTCACTTCATTACATTTATTAAACATACTCAAATGAATAAGACAAATTAGTTCCATTTTCAGACAGGAAGAAGAGAAATATTTTGAGGAGGGAGAAGTTAATTGCTGGTAAAGTGTGGCGTTATTACTTTAAAAGGTGAGTTTGGAAGTAGGAAGGAAATGCGTGTGCGTGCACGTGTGTGTGTACACTGAGGTAAACTCCAATGACAAGCAAACTCCATATAAGCAGTGAAAGACAACACAAGCACAGGAGGGACATTTAAATGTTAACTATTCGATGTCAAGAAAAAAGTGAATGCTATAAGCAAACGCCTACAGCGAAAACAGAATGATGAACAGTTTATTAAGAGTTTTAAATGGCTACAAAAATATAGCAATACAGTGAGCTTCAACAAATCCTGACCTTTCAGCATCCAAACTGGCTGTAAGACAATACGCACACCTATTCCCTGCAGGACCTCCTGCCATCTCCTGAAAGGGGCAAGCCAAAGGAAAAATCTGTTTCTTGGGACTCATTGTTAGAAAGACCAGCTCAGTAATCTAGGATATACAGAAGTCTACTGTGACTTAGAAACAACAACAGGAAAAAAAGCCCACAAAACCCCAAATCAACAGTTTACAAACAGACCAGGAGAAAGGTGTGATAAACATTAATTGAAATGGTCTTCCTTTACATGCAATATGTGCATTTTTAAATCACAGAGAAACACGAAAGTTTGTAGATCAAAGTCTGTTTTGCATGAGTGCAAACGAATATATATCTTCTTTTCTTATACTATTCAGTTATATATATTTTTCATACAAAAGCACACAGTGTTAATCTATAAAATGACATCCAAGTGGATGATGATTGTTTTGCATGTCCCCC